GAGTCGAAATTTATCCTATACATTTCCCAATAATTAATATTGTACGATTAAATACATAAATACGATAATGAACGATTGCTGGCTTTGGCATTTCAATTTGGCATTTCGGTGAAACATTGTATCTACCATACACTTATAATACGCATCTACGAGAGTTGTACGAGTCTATAAAATTTGATTATCTCTCGCTGTTTTCTAAAAGTTATGCGATTTCATTCAATTTTATATCCCCACTGCGTTTGCATAAACGTATGCATAAAATATTAAATAGCAATGTTATTGTACGCAAGTAATTTACGGTACTTTGTAATTTCAAATATATATCAATTGTTAATATATTAATGTCTAGTTTACCAATGCGCATAAATATTACGTACATTTTATGTACATTGGTCCTGTGAATATTTTATCGATAGGATTTTCATATGAAAAACCGCAGAAGCGAATAATGGTATGAATATAATTGTCATGAAACTGTCATCGATTTAATTAGTGCAAACACAATTTGTTTTCTAGCTTTCCCAAATAGCAGAGTACTGTAAAATAAAAACAAAATCAAGCAAAAACATCCATCAGTCGACATTTAACGAACTAATAAGAAATTAATTCAACGAAACTCTTTAATGGAAATGTGAGACTGAAATACACTATTATACAAATTTTCGGATAAAATTTATTATCCTCTCGATCTTTTGAGATCGATGTTTTATATTCTATTCATAAGTGATCGGCTCTTATTCTTATACACTTTTTTTCTTTATCCCTTTGTAACGAGTTCATTTTACAAAGTTTGATACAGAGATGTTTGAAGGAAGAAGAGCTTGAAAGTTTTTCAATACGTGAAAAGAATCGAAAACTTAATGAAGAAAATTATCGAACTTAAAATATCACTTCGTTTTAATTGACGGGTCAAAAGAATACTTTCTATTCCTTACGAGGGAGAAGAAGTCGCTGGAAATTATCATTAAAGTTAAAAGTTGTACTTTTAATGGAATTTTTTCTCGCTTTCACGTAAAATGAAGTATAATGATGAGTTTTGATTTTGCACTTCGATAACACGAGAGAATGACACGTCAGATTGAAAAAACGTATCATAATAATAAAAATGGGGAAAAGGCATTTTTGTACCAACTAACTTTTATCTATCTACACTTCAACATTCGTATTAAATACAATTTGTTCTTCTTTTTTTTTCTTCTTTTTTTGTCTCTAACAAATAATCAAAATTATTACACAATATTTCCTTATTAATGTATATCTCATACTTTTTTGTAGCTTACGCCCCATTAAGACAACTTTCTCTCAACTTTATAATAACATTTTTATAAATATCCCTCTGCATATATGCAATTTGTTAATTATCATAGATAATTATCAACAATCGTAGGGGCTGCACATAATACGATCATTTCGAGAAACTTTCATTTGCATTTAAAAAGTTTCGCAATTTCAAGATGGGCCAACTCTCAAGACTTTACTTCAAATTTCCATGATTTGAAATTTGTAAGGATTTGTCGAGGTCGAATTTATATTCTTTTCGATAACTTGATACTTCGGAAGCACTTACTTTAATTATCCGCGTTTCGTTAGCATACGCTTATTAAAACAAAAAAAACAAAAACAAAAAAAAAACAAAAAAAAAATTGGACACGCTCGGAATTCACTTTCGATGAATATTACTATTTCGATATAATAAAACGTAACATACCACGAGCAAAAGTTCCAAAGGACAAACACAAGGATTTCGAGGGCAACGGCTCTAATGCAAATTAGCCCCAAGGACTCGGCGCCTCAGGATACACCGACACACCGAACCGCCGCGTAAGATCCTCGGCCTCCGCTCCCATAACGGCCACCACATCCCGACTCCCGATTTCTCACGAAGGGGCTCACGGAGCGGCGCAGCCGAGCGGAGAAGAACCGGAAGTGCCTCGTTGCCTTCAATTTGATCGCGCGGTGCCCAGCCACACGTACTTACCGGGAGGAGATACGTGGCGATGTACTTGTTGCGTTTCACGATACCGCGATAATGATTTTCACCAAGTCCTCGGTCCCATCTCGCGACCGCTGCTCTCCATCTTCCTACGACAATCTGCCTCCGCGGCTTCATTGGTGACGAGCTTTCCCAAGGCCGCGGACCCAACCTCGCACCGCTTCACCTAGTCGTTATTTTAGACTCGGCGATTAATGGGTGGAGGCTAGATTTCGCCACGAACGATCGCCACGATCCCTTTCCCTGATCCGTGACGTCATACACGAACTTCTTTTTGACTCTTTCCAAAGTCAATATCTTAAGTGCCAAGTCCAATAATTAAACGCACGACGAATGTACATCGCCTCGGCATATCAATAGTTTAATGCGAAAGGGAAATATAATAGTTTTGTCTCGGCGAAAGTTTATCGTAGTTATACACAACAAAAGACAGTTATACAATTGACCCCTGTGCAGGACAGCAAAAATTTGTTTAGCCAAGGGAAAAATAATGCAAAGCCCGTTTTGATGGTCGTTGAGCTTGGGACGGGAAGGCCAATCCAATTCCTAAGCTCATTGCGAACGGTCAAGGCCATACTCGGCTTACCGCCTTTAAAGTTCTCATACAGCGAGTTGCAGAAAAAGCTTCTTTGCTTCGAGATAAAGAGGAAAACGACAGATTTGTACAAAAAAAATCATGCACGCCAGTCGTTATCTTCGAGTCAGAGTGCTGATTTTCGAGAGAACAAACAAAAAACAAACCAAAAACAACCAAAACAACAACGACAACAAACGACAACAAAATTTCAAACAACAAAAAAATTCAAACAACAAAAAAATACAAAGGATCTAGAAATAGCAAAAACGCAAAAAAGATAAAAAAAAAATTTAAAGGTAGAGCATTGTTTGCGCTTTTTCACGTGAAATGCCATTGAATGGGAGGACGGGTAGTACTCGGTTGTCGTTTTTTCTTCATATTCTTTCTAACGTGAAAATCTGCTCATGACATGAAAATATTTGTAGCATACAGGATGAATATCTTCAGGCTTCGTTCAATCGGAATTAATTTACTCCACTCCCTAATGCCTTAAATTTTTTTTTTTTTTTTTTTTTTTTTTTTTTTTTTTTTTAAGCAGTGTATTTAAGTTATGTGCGCGTGCGTTCACACAAACACAATTGAAAAGCCGATGAAAGTTCCAAGTTAAAAAATTCCTAAACTACTGCGCGCCATAATACATATACGTCGATTTGCTTTTTCCTCTTAATTCAATTAATCCGGCTATATCGATCTCCCTATTTCGCAAATATTCCTTTTTGCATAAACATCCGCTACGATCTCTCGATATCATTGGCTTTCCAATTTGCGGCGTTAACACATCCAACGGCGATATTTCTTATACATTACAAGTAAGTACATTGAAAAGTGCCGTTCTTTAGTTTTTGGTATCATCAATTTAGATAGTTCGTGATATACAAGTTTGAAATTTTGAACTTTGAAAGTCTTACGTGCACATGGTGTGTGTGTGTGTGTGTGTGTGTGTGTGTGTGTGAGCAGTTGGCCCGATATTGCTACCGTTAACAATGTTTTACGTTTGCGTAAGAAAACAAAGTAAAACAAAACACCACAAAACAAAACAAAGCAAAAAAAAAAGAGGAAAAAGAAAAAATTGATCCTTTTCACACCTATCAGTGCGTACTTTGTGTAACTTTCTTATAGGCTGTGCGCCCGTCAGCATTCAAAAGTTCTCAAAACCCAAAACTTATAAATCACGACAAAGTTCATTTCAAAGATAAATAATGGTACTTTATAAGAAAATTTACCGTTCTAAAAATAGCGCTATGAACTTCAAAATTATAAATTCACGGTGCCCCTACATTCGGCTACATCACCGTACAACACCTCCCTTCTCCGTATCCTTACAATTCCTATTCCTTTCCACGAATATAATATTCTTTTAATATGCCGCTTGAATCACCATTTAATTTTCAATGAGCGCAAGAACGAACATACTCCCTAAAAATGGCAGCGAATGTAAAATTCGAATGTATCAGTGTACAATGAACATCGTACGTCCTCCACTCTGTCGAAACGTAACGATCGAGCTTGACGGAACGATCGAAGCCTGTGCTGCTACATCGTAGGGCCGGAAGTGATTTTTTAGCTTGGATATCGGCAAAGTGGAGCTCGAGGGCAAACGGCACTGATGACTCGATTATAAGCCGTTAAATCGTCTTTCTTTTATGCCGTTCACGATTGGCACTGATTTTCCGTTGATGGCACGAGTGCAGGCGTCGGCTAATTAGAATTATCATCGTCGTCGTTTGTTTGTTTGCTCGAGCATCCACGTTATGCCTTGGCAATGCGTTAGACGTAACGCTACTCTCTCTCTCTCTCCCTCTCTTTCCGGACTTGTTATTAGTGATAATTTGGCACGTTTATTCGAATTTTCGGAAATTCAGTATCAGAAAGGTAAAATATTGTACAGCAAAAAAGGAGAAAAAAAAATAAACAAGGATTATAACATTGGTTGAGACTAAAGCACCGTAATAGCACTGTAATCGTTAGAATAGTAGTGGTGTTATTATTGCTAGTATGGAAATGTATGGCTAGTAACTGTAAAGCCATTTGACTGAAACGCCAGACCATTATCTCCCAAAATATAACCGTTAAAAGAATAATTCTTGACTGTGCATCGGCCGGTCAATTTTGAATCGATTGAAGCATTTTTTATACGCGCAGTAAGAAAATACTTTAATCGCGCCTTGGAAATTTTCTCGGGAACGTGTTGCCGTAATAAGGCATAAATAAACGGCAAATTTTCTATGAGAGCGTCACCTTAATAAAGCAAATGATGACACGTTCTATCCAAGGACCGACGAGTTTACAATTACAAGCAAACTAATGTAATTAGCGCGCGGAGAGTGCGACGGCCATTACGAAAGCTCCGACAATTTTCCAGCAGTGAGATGAAAGAGCCGCGAGAGACTCGCGAAAGACTCGCGAGAGAGTGCGGACGGCTCGACTCACCGATCCTAAGGAGAGCTCCCCAGGTGACGACGAGGAACCAGAGGGCCGGCATCAGGTAACGCGACAGTCTGCTAAATGCCAAGCACCCGGACACTACGGCGACGCTCCTTGGCTCCATCCTCGTGCAGCGGTTCGCGCTCGACTAAAATCCCCGTGAGTCCGGACCCGCTAGCGTATAACGACGATAATAATGCACGGGCTGCCCCTACCTCGTCTCGCCTGAATTACACATGAGCTCCTCGGGCGCACAACCCGGGGTATGGATGGCGCGTGATCTTGGAACTCGGAGGTCCTAATCGCCAGCTTCCTTTTGTCCCCGGCCTCGCGCACCTCCTCTGTCCGTCTCTTTTATTAGATCGCATCACGGTAGTTCCCTCTTGCAGTGCTTCTTACTTATTTCGCGGCTCTAATGGTCCTCGTTTGCCCGATCGCTCGAGAGGGCACTGCACGAAGTACGTATAGCGACTTCACTCTTTCTCTCTCTCTCTCTCTCTCTCTCTCTCTATCTATCAATCTATCTATCTATCTATCCCTCTCATTCTTCCACGTTCGAACGACTGGTGCGCTAAAGTTAATACCGCCTCCAACTGCTATTGTTCGCTTGTCCTCGGCATTTGACTTATCGCTGAACTACTAAGCTGTTAATTTCTCTGAAATTCGGCTAAAACGGACTTTCCCATACGAGTGCAGCTTTTAAAACACTGGCTCTACAGAGAGGGAGAGAGAGAGAGAGAAAGAGAGAGAGAGAGAGAGAGACTTATCTACTTTAAATATTATATTTTCTCAAATTTCATAAAATTATTCATAAAAGCATTTTTTCCATCTTCTCTTTTCTCTTCTCGTCTCTTTGTGAAAATTACTTTTAGAAAAATTGGATTATAAAAAACAAATTTAACAAGTTCCGACTTCAAGTAGAATGAAATAATATAAAACTGGGTATAGGATAGATGCACCTTCTTTATCTCGTACATCATTATTTTTAAATGACAAAATCATTTTTGTAAATTGACTACATCTTATGAATTTAACATATACGTATGTATGTACATATGTATATTGCAGAAAAAAATATATATAATTTCTATATATCATTTGAATTTCACGTTTTAACGTAAAATGAGAAAGCCAATAAATATATCAATACAATTTTTCGCCGAGCGTTGTCAACTATTTTTTTCATTTAAATTACAAAGAAGAAATTTAATAATCCATATTGATTTTTATTTACTATTTGTACTGTTATTGCTATTGTCGTTGCTATTGTTGTCGAATTCCTGATATTAAACATGAATTATTGTCATTATAAGTATTATTTATAACGAGACTTTTTGTTGACGTTAAATTGTTTCGTTAAATATTACCTTTTATATTTTAAATACTAAATAACTTCTATAATAAAAGCATAAGTGAACAAAATTAATTTTACTTAATTATTATTAGAAAAAATGTGTCATTTGTAATTATATTTTATTCATTGCAAGTACGAAACCTTAATGCTACGGAATATATGATTAAGCGTCGCTGATTAAAATATTAATTAATGTTATCAATAATTTCAATCCCTATCATTTTACGACAAATTTGAAACTATTGCTTATCAACGTTATCAATGTGTATTTCTATACAAAGAAAAAAAGAAAAAAAGAAAAATGCCTTCTTTGAAATTCATCAGTTGGAAAATTATATTCGTATAAGGATTTTTGATAATTTTTTTAAATTAAAAACATATTATTACATCTTTCATTCGTTACCTTTCATTAGCTACAAAAAAATGTTTGATTAAAACAAAAAATGAAAATACATTATTTTCTTTAAATTATTAAAAATAAAGTTTGTGCTCCGGTTCATTCGGCCATATTGATTTTCACAATGAATATAAAACATAAATTTTCCAAAGTTATTTTATCCTATTTATTTTAATAAACTCGTATTCGTATGCGTAAATACGTTATATATAAGTAAAAAAAAACAAAAACAAAAACAAAAAAAAAACAAACAAACAAAGAGAGAAAAAAACTTTAAATGAATACCTATTCGATTATATTTTTAATTAAAATTAATGTTAAATTACTTATACGAATGGCTAAAAGAATATATTTAGTGATAATTGTTACGAATCCAATAGTAATTGATAAAGTTGCGCGCCAAACTACGGCTCAAGAAGAGATCATTAGAGCCACGATAAAAATACCTTTCAAACTTTAATTTTAACCACAACAGAATTGGATGTTTCTAATGCAAATAAAACTAACTAACTACAAATCAACATAAATTATTCTTATAATAGCAAAGTAAATTAGAAGCTTCGGTTTCTTACAAATTTACAATTAATAATTATAATTGTAAAAAGGTAGTAATATTAAGATATTAAAGACCCTTAATTAATTCAAATCGAGTGAGGTTCATTGATCTAGCGCTGGTCGAATATTCCGTACTATGCCATTAATATTCGAAGCAACCTATCGTACGAAACTATTTTATTGATAAATATGTTTAAACGCGTGCGCACGCGCGTTCACGTACGTGCGTGCAAGTGCACACTTATAAATGCCTAGCGTTCCAATTAATAAATTAATCTCGTATATTCTAAATATCAACTTACTTTTAACACAAATAACTCAATAGCTATTGAGCATCACGCGATTTAGTAATAAAAAATAGTACAAAATAATTGCAATACTTTCATACAAACACCAATACTTAGCGGAAAGCGTGACAGGGGCGGTGAACTGACCAACGCAATGACAACATAAACGAGATGTAGACTGGACAAATGACATACGTCATGTGTGTCGGTGTGCGAGTGTGTCGTTAAAACCTCTAATATCTATGTCGTAACCCTTCATTTGCGCCAATATTAATTGGATAATAATATATGAAATAAAGTTTTTTGTATTTCTACTGCATATATTGGCGCAAAGCTAAATAATTGAAAAATGCATTTCAAGCATCTGCTTTAACATACAAGACAACATATAAATCTTACAAAATTAGTGATATTACATTACTATTTACATAATTGTTCATTTACATATAATACTTAACTAACTGCTCTATAACAATATCGATGAATCTCTAACACAGCCTAACATTATAAGAATAGTATATTTGTATTTTTATTTATAATCTCAAATGTTCGCCAAGCAATCGAATAATGCCATTTGCAATTGCAATTTCTTCTATTAAAATCAACTTTAACCTCCCTAAATGTGGAACAAAAGATAAATAATTGCTGAAAGAAAGCGCACGAAATAATGATAATTAGCATAGATTAATAATATTGACGACGTGGTAAAAATGAATAAAGTCGAAGATTGGAAACAAGGCGAAAGTAAGATAAGTGTCGCACGAGTACAATTAAGAAAGACGACACGCTCGCGGTTTCTCTTCATTGCGCTTATTATAAACCTTGCGGTTTGCTTCTTTCGTTTTGCTGCCGTTGCTTTCTCGTAAGTACACTTTGCACGCCATAGACGTATACGTTGCCCTCGCGAATTAACCGACAATCAAAAGTTTAATTACAAAAGATTGCCATTAACGGTATTCAATAGAAATACAATAATTCGCTTCATTACCAAGTTATTGCTCTTATATCTCCTTCAACGTCAACACTGTCGGCGAAATGTTTTATGCGCTTGCGTAACAATCATTTAGAAATAAAAATCTACCTTTTAATCGTGCGACATTTCCTGCCTAAAGGAATTAAAAATTAACGCGTGAAACATTTGAGTTACTTCGTATTAAATAGCTTCGTATTACGCAACTCTTACCTCGATATTCTATTGCCAAGGTGATTCTTGACAATGAAGTTCTTGAAGTTCTTTATAAAGTCAATGCATGTTTCTTTAATATGTTTCGTGAAATGTGTCCTTTAAGTAATGCATGTGACTTTGAAAATTTATTTTAAAATTTATTCTTTTATAAATCATATGTAAGTCATGTTCGTTATTAAAATTGTGCTACAATGATAAATTTACCGAGAGAAGTCGGAAAGTTTTGTGCAAAAATGTTCACTTGGAAAACCCCAGCGTTTTAATATTAGACTAATCCTTATTAAAAATTTCGAATTTGTAGTACATTCAAGTTTTAGCCATGAACGTTCTTAAAGTACGACAAAGCTTTTCTCAATTAAATTTTCATTTCTCATATTCTAATATACGTAGCAGCGAACTTGTTATGATTTCTGAGCCATAACAATGAACAAAAAAATTAACCAGACTTCCATTTATGAAACAGTCAGTTTTTTTAATTTAAATTCACATACTTCAAAAGTGCGTTCACATCGTCATTTGATGTCCCTTCTCATCCACATGACGATAATTATCCAGAGACGAATGAATTTTAAAAATCACCTCGCGCGGTAAATTTCATTTTAATGGATTTAAATTTAACGTGATATATATTTATGCTATTAGTCACAGTAACAGCATCAACAATTTATGAACGATAACCAAAGTTTCGATTATATCGTAACCCAACCTCTCCCATTGCCGACCAATTAATTTAAATGGGAAAATTACGGTTCTGACATCCATAAATTCCTTTGTCATTATCGTCTCCCTCTACCCACAAAATCCAACAAAATACCCGAAAAAGCGAGATGAAAATCTCGGAAAAAATCGTCGAGCAGGCAAACGCGTCACTCGATTACGCCCAATTATTGACGAGATCACGCTGGAGCCGAGCGCCTACTTTCATCCGCGGTCAGCGATAATTCTTTCCTCCTCCATCACACTCCTGACCCCCTCCCATCTTTAACCGCCACTCCCAAGTCACGCAGATGACTCAGCCGAAAGGGGTTTTTCACTTCTCGTTCAAAGCTCACCTCGTCACTTCATGCGAAGTGAGCAGAAGCTCGGCAGTTCTTTGGTCAGGTGTTAACGGCCGCGTGTTGCAGCGGTTGCCCGGTCAACCGATTACAGCGGCTGCATGGGTGGCTCCACCTGATACGCACTTACACTCCTATGGCCTTGAACGTTATATCATATCTCGACGGAATGCGCACGAGCGTCGCCAAAGCATTGGTCCACCGCTTGTTAAACCCCGTGCGTCTGCAATTACACGAATTTTTTTGGAGTCCCGGGTGGGATTCTGCAAAGGGTGGTGGGGCGGGGAGGTTGACACA